CCTAAATTCTTAAAAATTGGAGAATGAATTTTAAGAATTCACTAAGGAGTTAGGTAGTCTAATATACAAAAATTCATGACACTCTTAATAATGTACATTTTGGATCGAAACTTTTTTTCCTTGTAGATTATACAGAATCCTACAGAAAACATCTACAACGTTTTTCTCTAAACTGAAAACCAAATTTTCTAAAAATGGGAGAATGAATTTCAAGAATTCGCTAAGGAGTTAGGTAGTCTAATTTACAAAACTTCGTAGCTCGCTTAGTAATGAACATTCTGGATCGAAACTGTTCGTAAAATGTTCGTAATGTGTCATTCGGTTCTGATCTGCAGTGTGCGTACCCAGGATTAAAAATAGACGCAGATATTATTTCCTCGCTAAGACAATTCGCCTCGTAACGACGCTGTCCGCCATTTTTCAAACACCTTGCGGTTCGATGACTCGCCGCGCGGACAATGTCAGCGCAATTATCGATCCCAGATTCCCCGAGGGGACTGGGGGTTTAACGATCGCTGGAGGAAACGCTCCCGCAAGAAAAGCCAACGCGAAGAAAAGAGCCACGCTCCGTACACGTTCCGTGCACACGCCTCGACGGAGCACCTAGATTACAATCGCGACCTGCTCGGATAGAAGAACGCCGTCACGAGCTGACAAGGACGACTGCGTGGACGAGAGAGAGAGAGAGAGAGTGAGACACAGAGAGAGTGAGAGACAGAGAGATAGCGAGCGAGAGACAGAGAGGAGCGGTAAGCGGTCGAGCGTATAATACTCGAGTCGGCATGTCGTACACGTACACCTACACGAACTCCTTATAAATACGAGACAGTGCGTGGCGCACTTGAGAGAAGGTGCGTAAGTCCGCATCTGCCCGAGATTCTCACGCGCGACGCATCTGTCTCGAGTTCCCACGAGACGGCCCTGGAGAACCCGTGGTCGAGAAAGTTTCGTCCGCCATTACTGTCCCGTCCACGTGGATGGGGAGTGCCAAGATTCACCGCCGTCGGTACTCGTCGGGAGCCACTCGACTATTCCATGATGTCAAACGAAAGGCTTCAGGCTTGAGGAAGGATTTCGCGATACCAGGAGTCACGCGCGAATTTTCCTCTTGGTCTGCCGGAATTTTTATCGACGTAACGCGATCTTTTCGAGCCTTTCACGCAGTATCGGGATCCACGAGGACCCTGCCGAGGGTTTCGACGCCTCCAAAGAAGAGGCTCGAACCATAAACGATTTAAGAAATGGGACCGGTGTCGGCTGTTTATACCCCTGTCCTCCAAATTGAGACCTCAACGTTTCAGGGACCACCGAAACAATTAACGCTAAATCCAACTGCATGCAAACCGTATGCAAACTGTATTGCACTCTATACAAACTTTATTGTATATTTATTTGTGTATTCCACTGTACACAAACTGCATTCCATCGTATATAAATTGTATTACATACGTGCTCGTGTATCGCACTGTATATAGACTGTATACAGGGTGTCCCAAAAGTTTGGGAGGAACCGGAAATGGGGAGTAGCTGAGACGATTCTGAACAACAATTTCCTTTGCAAAAATGTCGGATGGGGCTTCGTTAAGGAGATATTAAGAGAAAACGCCGACCAATCAGAGCGCGCGTAGACCGTGGGAGCGGCCGCGGTAGCGAAGGCTACGGCGCTGAGCGGCCGCGTCATTATCCTTCGATGCACGTCGAGTCACTTGTTCGCGTACGAGAGCGGCTACCTAGCGCGTAACCACCGCTACCGCGGCCGCTCCAACGGTCTACGCGCGCTCTGATTGGTCGGCGTTTTCTCTTAATATCTCCTTAACGAAGCGCCATCCGACATTTTTGCAAAGGAAATTGTTGTTCAGAATCGTCTCAGCTACCCCCCATTTCCGGCTCCTCCCAAACTTTTGGGACACCCTGTATATTGCATATATATAATTATGTACCATACTGTATACAAAACTGCATTCCATCGTATATAAATTGTATTACATACGTGCTCGTGTATCGCACTGTATATAGACTGTATATACAATCACATATTGCATATATATAATTATGTATCGCACTGTATATAGACTGTATATACTATCACATATTGCATATATATAATTATGTATCGCACTGTATATAGACTGTATATACAATCACGTATTGCATATATATAATTATGTATCGCACTGTATATAGACTATATTAATTATGTATTCATAGACCTTGATTGTATATATGTACAACCATATATTGCATATATATAATTATGTACCATACTGTATACAAAACTACATGGGCTAATGGATGAAACACTCGCATATACAATTGATGCATCGCATAGAAAAATCGCACGAGTTTGAACATAAACTGTATAGAACGCTAAATCGACTGATGCATAAAACGATTGTGCACACTCGACGTATTGCGCGTAAGAACTGTATAAAGAACCGAAGACAAAAGAAAATTGGCTACCGCATGGGCGCTACTGAAGCGTATCGAGAAGTGGATAGAATAGCGTATACGTGCAACGAGAGGAAGTGTATTTCCCGGGAGTTGGAGAATCGCTAACGACAATTCGCTAGAGCGACGGTGTGCGAGAGAGAAATCAGTCGGTAGCGGATAACCGGTAGGAACGCTGGTCGTATTCGTAGGTGTGTATACCTGACATACACGTCACACGTGACACGCGTGCGTGCACAGGCGCTTACATAGCGTGAGCACGTGTACGCTGTGTTTATACGTTCTCTCGGGGCCGTGGGAATGAGCATGCACCGCGACCGTTCTGGCACGAGCGCCGCGACAAGCGCGGACCCGCGCGAAAGTCGACAGACAAGGACGCTATGGTCGATTACCGTTCCGCGCCGCGTCGCGCATGCGGTACGCGCCACGCCGCGAGTCCACCCCACGCCACTCCGCGCCACCCCGCGCCACTCCACTCCGCGCCACGCCGCGCCACGCCACGCCACGCTCTGCTGTAACGCGCGCGCGAGCCAGCCAGTCACCGACACGTGCTTTTCTTCCAGCGGTAAACGTCGCGCGGGGAAACGTTCCACGGCATGGAAAGTATCAAAGAATCCGTTTCTTGTTACACGATCCTCTGGTAAATCTGTTTCGCTTCCAACAGAAGCTGAAACGCTCGCGGAAGGAACGATTGAAGCGACGAGAGCTTGATTAGACGAATTAGTCCATGGATTAGGTGCGTTATTAGGCCGTGGTTTATTTTAGATTGGGAAAATTCTAGGTTGAAACTTCGACGCATAGAGTGAGATTCTTAATTGGGTCATTTTTATTGTCCGTGCATTGCCACGTACTCTCTCATACTCTCTATTCTGAAATCGATTGTTCAAAGGAATTGTGAACACGTTTCGTTTGCTTTCGTACCTTCCGTAGGAGTTTTTAATGTTGAATAGAGCTATGATTACTGTGCGTTGATCCTAATGCAAGCTTGTACGAACGGTTGCCTGCTCTTCAGGGGTCTAACGTCCGTCTTACCGACTGCTGTTTCGAATCTACTATTTTTTTATTTCTATGACGTTTATCTAATACCAGGATCTGCCTTGATACAAACATTATTTATTTATATTGGAACTAATTATTATTTAAATTGATTATTTAAATTTCTAAAAAAAAAGACCAATAACGGTTCCC